AACATATACAGAGAAATGAACTTAGTGTTGGCCTTGAGCACTTCTGTAACTTGTCACTGAATATTTGAAATACTGGGACCTCACAAGTGGTTTATTTCTCAGACTGCTGTACCAAAGGAATTAATTACTATTTTAGACTGGAGTATTGCAGATGAATAACTGAATATTTGTAGACCGTTTTAAAGGCCTATCTGAAAAGCATTACAAAAAGGCAAACTTGTGCTCTTTCATAGTCACAGTGCTAGACAATGTACATGCCCAGGTATAACCTTAAGAACTCATCAAAGCCTTGCCAAAATTCACCAAGTATGCTTTTATATGATTTTGTAATATTAATAATTTAGGTCACATCTACTATGTTGTTGTTTGTTTCAGAAACTACCTTACAATTCAGATTGTAAATGCGTGGCAAAATGGTAGAGAAACACAAATCACAGATTAGTGAGCAAAACACAAAATGATTTCTGAGTTAAGGAACAGACCACAGCAAAATAAAAACAAGACCCAAGCAGGAGAGTGCCAAATGCATCTATCTTTGGCATTATTGCCACAGAAGCTTAACATGGGTACTCTTAGCATTATATTTTGCTGAATGTACATAATGTACGTTATCACTTTGCAAAGGAAGCTTAATAGTGTTGCAAAAAGTAAAATGCGAGTAAACATTTGATCTTACCAGTGGGAATAGACATCTTGTGCGGTTTAGCAGAAGGAGGGCAGTAGATCTCAGGACTCGCAACGTGAAATTCAGTTAATCCAGAGTCTGGCAGTGATGGGCTCTGTTGAAAATAACTTTTGGGGCTGGCAGTTTCTCCTGGCAGTGGAGATTCCTGGCCTGGGCTGTAGGCACGGATTTCATTTTCATTGGTGTTTTGACTGCCCAGTAAGTCAGGACTCATGCAGACTGTTTGCAACATTTCTGCTGTATGTGCACAAAAAAACACAAAAAAAAGGAGGGGAGAAAAAAGAACACCCCCAAAACTAAACCCTATTGGTTTATAAAAAAAAGAAATGAAAATCGAGTTTCACAGTGAGAGCATGATAATTGTATTTAATTCTCCAGAGTAATTCACAGCTACTAACTGGCTCCAACTTCCCTCTCTCCTTTTGAGTAGCAAGTTATAGCAGTCACTGAAGAAAGCCAGCATTGGAATCCAAGCAGTCACTGGAAACTGCTTTTGAGAGGTTCTTGGCAGCGGCCCTCCCTCGCTCTTTATAGTCAGGTAGGGCTCGAAGGACGTCAGCCTGGGAAGGCTCCACCCTCTTTCCTAACAGTCTCTCAGCTGCTGCCAGAGAAATCGCTTTTCCCAAGAAGAGATTGAGTACAAGTTGAAAAATACTTTCCTTAAAAAAAAAAGTTAAAAATCGGACTGTGAGTTTACTGCAAGTGGCATGAGCAGCCCCTTTCTTCCTCTTCCTGACTTAGTTAGTTAAATAGATTGGTTAGACCATACAAACAGGCAGCTGATGCAGAAGAAAGCGTTTTGTCATTTCTTTTATCAGGAAAAAAACAAAGCCCTTTTCTCAAGGCTGCGTAATCATAGAATCATAGAATCGTTAAGGTTGGAAGGGGCCTCTAGAGATCATCTGGTCCAACTGTTCTGCACACGCGAGGTCACCTAGAACAGGTGGGACAGGACTGCTTCCAAGCGGGTTTTAAGAGGAGCCATTGCTCACAGCCTTCGAGAGCAAAAATAATTTTCCCTTCAGATTAGAAATTTAGCCATGCAGGTGTATCCTCCATTCTCTGCGTAATTTTGTCTTTGAAGACAGAAAAGTGTTGTATGATTTTTTTTAACCTGCTGATTTTTTTATTATACAAGAAAGCTTGCATGAATACTGGCACTGCCATTTTTAAAACCCAGTTGGATTAAAATTCTATTCGGTTAGGTACTTTAACTTCCTCCTGTATCAGACTAAACAGAAGGGAGCTAGATTTCCTTAACTGAGTGCACAATACTGATAGAAATATGTTTTAGTTCAATCCGGATACTGACTTCTTTGATGGACCTGTGCAATCCTGACTCTTTTCTCTGAATTGCATGTAATAGCCCCGGTCTTGAGAATGTTAACAGAAATATTTAGATATCGACCAAAGCTAGGAAATTTTATATTTGTAAAACAAGTGTAGAATTGGGTACCAATCTGTATTTCAGCAGCACTGGAGAAACTTGCTTCTGCCCCATAGATCTTACAATATAGTAACACCTGTGA